TAGCCAGTGGTGTCAAACTCAGAATAAAAATGGATCCCTCCTGGCTATATAAGGACTTAAAAAAACCACAAATTCACATTATCTATGTTGTACTGTATTTTCATTTATTTTGTTAAACATATTCCAATGACATTTTAAGCTGGTTTGAGAGCATTAAGGAGCTTTGACTCCTTAGGCCATGACTTTGATACCTCTAAATTAGTGATTATTAAGAACCTAATTTAAAAGATGTATTCATTATGATCTGGATGGAGAAAGAATACTAGGTTAGTCATGGTATTGACTGGGAATAAGATGTAAATCTAAGAATATCTTTTGAAATGAAGACTAGAAAAGTTAGTACCTCTGACAGGCAGAAATGTGCTCGGGCCTGGGCAATGGGTTGGAGACAAAGGGGAAGCTGGAGTTCATAGATACTGCTACAGGATTCCTAGAGACCAAAACACTGAAAACCACTTGGCCTAGACAAAATTGAACTTGAAATTCTATTACTTTAAGGTAGATTTAAGTCTTTTCTGAATACTTTTAACCTCATGTGTTATTTCTAAGATTAGACTTTTCCCCCTTGCAAATCACAAAATTACAAAATTGGAACATGTGGGAACAGCAAGGGATCTTGAAAGGTCATTTTAACCAAAAACCTCATTTTACAGAATAGGAAACTGAGGGCCTGAGAGGTAAAGCGATTTACCCAAAGTTATAAAGCTAGAAAGTCACAGAGCCAAAACTGGAACCCAGGTGTTTTGGGTAGTTTGGCCCAAAAGCAAAGAAAGTTCTTTTTATCTACTCCCCTATAAAAACACAAGCTAGCTCAAATGTGATTGAAAAGCTGGAAACACTTGGGATTTCACGGTGGTACCAGCAGAGGTGATATATCCACATCTCTAGAGAGTGGGTTTTGTGGCTTCTAAGCCACAAACAAAGATCTCTCAAGAAAAAAGACAAGTCTTACTACGTACTAAGCACTGCTAAGAAACTTAGCATAAAATACTAGTGGTGTGGTTTGAAATCAGATTTTAAGTTCTGTTAGACTCCCCATAACTTTAAGCAACAAATGAGAGCCGCAAATGTTCCTACCTATCCCAACCCCCACACTCTGTTTACTTTGTCAGATTATACAACAGAGCCTTTAGTTTCAAAGGTTTCCACTCCTTTAATCAAGTTCAATACTAACAGGAACAGGACAATACAATGAAGAGAAAATGGCCTCAACAGGATAGACTGGTTCCAACAACCCTGTAAGATGGTAGGGAATAAGGTATAATGGAAGAAGGAAACCCTTGGCTTGGAGCAACATGAGGAATTCATGTAAACATCGATAGAGCAATTTCTTGTAGTACTTTGTATTCACTCATTTCACTCCTTATACTCCTCTCCAGAATCTTATGGTTGATACTAGATAATCCTTAAAGTTCCTTCCAGCTTTCAGTTACATGACCCAACTCTAATTTGTATCATTATTTGTACATGTCTTAGTTTTCCAATTAAACTGTGAGCCCCCGAGCAAAGATTCCATAGAGTCTTCTCTATAGCCACCACAGCAGCGTCCTTGCACATGGTAGGCACTTAATAAATTGTTTGTTGACTTGAACCTAATTCACCCCAAGGTCTCAATGAATAATTCAAGGACAAGGAAAAGAACATTTTCTAACTACTGTTTTCCAATAGTGGAACAGTTACTTCCAAAAAAGAGTAAGCTCGCTGTTAAAGGAAGTGTGTTTAAGTAGAGTCTGAATAATCATCTGTCAGTGACATCACAGATGAGGGTGGAAATTGGGACTAGATGTCCTCTGAGATTCCTTCCAACATTAAGTGTCTGTGAACCTGGGCTGAACCATACAGTCAGCTACACAAAGAAAACAAAATGACAAATATTAATTAATTTTTTTTAAAAAAATCTCAGTCACTCATGACTATAAATGCAACATATCATCCTATTTTATTACTGCACAACATTTAATACCTCAAGTTGTCCTGTGTATATCTATGTACTTGGACATGAACTTATATGTGGAGCAGCTTTTTCCCCATGTGGATTTTTGTTTGTGCTGAATTTTAAGTTTTTTTTAAAAACCACACCCTGTGCTTCTATTACATTATGACCCTCCCCATTATTCTATTCATTTTTTTTTTGAGACAGGACACACCCTGTAAGATTGCTGACATTAACAATACTGGTCAAAAAGATTCCTGTCCTAGAATACTTCTTACCAGTCACATAATTTCAAAACCTTGGCCTTTGTTTCAGGAGTGACTAGATAACTTATTCTTTCCCATATTAATTTTAAACACCTTGAACAAGAGACAAACAACAATAGATTTCCTTAACAAAAGAAAGCAAATCAAACAGATACACTACAGGTGAGTGGCACAAGCTTTTATATGTGACAAACCTTATTCTTCAAAGATTCAAAGAAAATTAGCAACAGATATGTATGATGATCATAAAGTAGTACCACAGATAACATAACTGGAGAATGCTTTTCACTCATGCCAGGGGAAAAAAATGTAAATATAATTAAAACATGAGAAGTAAACATTCAACTTCCAGTTGTATACTTGTACTTGTATAGTTAACAGAAAACCATATCCTCAGGAAAAAGACAGTGGTCAAAGTTCTAAGAAGGCTGAAGGTTACATTTTTTTCCCCTTTGATATCTATCAATATAACCCACAAATCTATTTAAATTGCAAGCAAATCACAGTTATCCTTGGAAAGAGAAAGGAATGAAGAGAAGAAATTGTGAGTCAAATTTCTGAAGAACGAGTAACCTACAGAAAAAATGAAGAATCAAAGAGCATCCTGGTTCATAGCTGTATAAATGGAAACTTTATTAAAGCTTGGTTTCTTTGTTCTACTATTAAGACACTGTCTCCCACAACCTCAGCAACTTACTGCATACACATTTATGACATTGTGAGCAGTCACAATAAGGTAGGAGATTGGGATAATTACTACAGTAGAGAGTCCTACGACTAAGTCCTGGGGGGTGGGGTGAGTCTCTAAATAGATTCTTGGAATGACACCTTTTCAAATGTCAGCTCCAGAAGACAAAGCCAAAATTTATTATTACAGATAGATAACTAAGCATGTCGAATTCCTATCTTCTGATAAACTGTCTATGGATAGGTTATATCAAAATTGCAAAGAGGGTTAGCAGAAAATCACGCAACCCAAAAGTCACCCAGCCTGGAATTAATGTTTCAAAAAAAATGTAGAAAGTCACTAGCATTTCCCTACTAGGAGGATTGCTGTCTCCCCACCCTCCAACACCCATATCCTCCCTTCACATAAGTAGAAATTATTGCAGTCAGAAATACAGCCCAAACAGATCTGTGTAATCGCTGTGTCCCACAAGGATCCAGAGATATCCATGCGGCTACCAAGAGTATTTGGGGTTACCTGAATCTGTCATTGCGTCCCTTTTACATTTGGAATTTTGCTGGGAAGAGGCTGACAAGCAGGGAGCACAATTGTGACAGAGCTTTGTTCTGCCTGCAGTGAATTACATGCAGTAAGGGTTAGAGACACTGGCAGCAGACAGAAAAAGAAATCAAAGAAAGCATCGTTTCAAGACAGTCTGTCATGTTTGGTTCAGAGGGGGTGTATTGGAGAGTGGTTGGGGTTTGAGGTAAGGAGGGAACAAGGATTTTATATTTTCTAGCTGCCTCTGTTATAAAAAAATATCCATCACCTCATATCATCTTTGCAGTTTCCCTGGCCCCCAAATTCTCCCTTTGGTGGGAGAGACTCTTTTAAGCAAGTATGGTACCCCAGACAACAACAAAAGGTGGGGAGAACAAGGATAGGGTTAAGAGACTACGACCCTGAGATTAATAAATACTAAAGACCTAGACCTAGCTAATCCATTCTCATGTTAATAGTCTAAAATCCATGCCACCCACATAGACGCACACAAACTAGCGCTGCATTTCCAGGCACAGTTTTCTCTCCTCTTAGCCCCTGAGATGATCCTCCCCACCTCCCCATCCCATCCCTTCCAGCCACCTCTTCTTTATTTCTTCATTTGGTTTTTGGTTTTAATTTTCCCTGCTACCAGGTCTTTGGAAACACTGTACCAATGCCCCCAGGCAGGAAACAGGCAAAGCCTCCTTGGCGAACTGCAATGTTTTCCACAAGCCCTCGCTTGCTCTTTGTCCTGCTACTTGCCCTTTTTGAAGAAACCACCTCACCCTAGTCAAGAGGGATTGGCCACATGAAAGCCCTCAAAACATCTGGCCGTTCTGCCCCTGATCTGGAGAAAGGAGATAAGGCGAGAGCTAGACCTAGGCACACAGCTGGCTAACTTCTCTTTTTTTTTTTTTCGTTGTTTTGTTTGCCCTGGGGGAGAGGGGAAAAGAATTGAGGGATTGGTCAGGAGGGGGAGTTGCCTATCTCTCAGCCCACCAGCAGTAGCTGCACTGTTCCCCCCCCCCGACCCCCCCCCCGCCCCACGCACATACTCAGTTCCCCAGTTTGACCAGAGCTCCAGGGGGCATCCGAGGACTCCAGGAACAGACACAGACATCGACACTCGGCGATTTCCCCCCTCCTTCCCCCAACACCTCAGTCATCATGATAAAATTCAATCTAGCCAATATTTATTAAAAACCTCAACTCCCAGCAGACCACCCCATCCATCCCCCTCCGCCGTGAATGTTTCACACAGGCAGAGAGCGTCTCTATTCAGCACCTTGCACTCAAGTCCTCTACCGACGGGCCAGGCAGCGGGGGCCCCGGCACCCGCAATTGAAAGAAACTCACTCTGTCTCTGTCTCTCTATGTGTGTGTGTCTGTGTCTGTCTCTCTCTCGCCAAATAAATAAAGCACATCTGCAGCAGCCAGTGAGAGCACTGCCAGATTGTTGGACTTCTCCGGTTTTTGGAAAATCAGACACCACCCTACCTCTCCACCCACCCACTCACCCTCTACGAGTCCTGGGGGCCTGGCAAGAGAGAAAGGTGGAGGGAAGCGAGAAGACAAAACGAAACTCACTGACCTTTCCGTTTAGACTTCTTGGAGTCTGCCCTAAACAAGCAGCGGCGGCGACAGTGGCAGCAGCAGCATCCCTAGATTGTCCCAGTTCGTCCCGTGCCCGCCGCTCGCTCCCTGGGTTCCCTCAGTCTCAGTCTCCCTCTCCCTCGCTCCCTAACACGCGCACACACACGCGCGCGCGCGCACACACACACACACACACACACACACACACACACACACACACACACACACACACACAGCCACAAACGCGCGAGCGCGCCAGGAAAACGCTGGGACTCCCCACGAACTGGCTCCCGCCGCTGAGCAGAGGAGAACGGAGGGGCCGGCTGGGCAGCACCCGCGGGGAGGCTGGAGAAGCTACGGGCTCAGTCCAAGCCGCCAGTCCGTCTGCCCGGCACGGGTCCGCTCCTGCAGCCCTGCTCCTACCGGGTCCTCCCGACAGTGTCCTTCGACCCCCACTGCCTGCCTGGCCCCTAACAACGCCGCCGCTCCTTTCTTTTCCTGTGTCTGCACAAATTGAGGCTAGATCATTTGGCACACCAGAGCGCGCACATACACATATTCACACCCTGAGACACACAAACACACACCAAGAGCAGACGGCGCTTGCAGGAGCTCTCCTCCTGCCCGGGCACCGCCCCCCACCCTGGGCTCCGCCTCCTTCCCACTTCTCACCACCCCCCTGCCCTGCAATGTCCGTGGGTCAGTCTGACTGTCCGGCTGTCCAGGAAACAGAACCTTCCAGGCAGTAAAGAGATCTGACCGCGGCTAATGACCACCCTCCAGCTCTCTCATCCCTTTCCCCCCAGTGGCCCAACCTCATCCCCAGCGCCGGAGTTCCCTCCACCGCCGTCGAACAGGAGCCCCAGCTGGAGCCGGACCCGGGAGGGGGTCAGGTGTGAAGAGCAGAAAGCCAGAACAGCTCCGCGGAGAGGAGGGCGGAGCCCGGGGATTTGAAGTGGAGGGGGCGGAGCCGTGGAAGGGGCCAGAGACTGGGGGGTGGGGTGGGGGGGGGGGTGGGGGGGGTGGAGGGAGAGGAGGAGGAGCTTGGCTTATCACGTTCCCAGAAACTGGCCTGGAGCCACTCCAGGTCTACTCTGTTTTGGCCGCCCCCAAAATTTCTCACAGTAGGATTAGGACAGGGGCCCTTTGTGAAGTGACAAATGCAACTGAGAGATCCTGAAAGAAAGAGGATCGTTCTGTCTGAGGGAGGCACTCGGTACCCGCCGTGTTCCCTGTCAAGGGGTGCATAAACATATTTGACTTCAGGGGATGGCCAAACTATAGGGAAAAGACCTCTCCATTACTTCCCTCCCACCCCATTCCTAGGTTTGTAAATCTGTCTCGCTAAAAACAAATTCTGCCCTCTAAACAGGTGACATAGCTAAAGCGTTTTCTCTCTCAAGGAAAACTTAAGAAACACATCCTCCCACCCCGTTACCTGCAAAATAAATAGATCTCTCCCTTGTCAATGGAAGAGCTATTTCGATGGTCTTTGACTAAAGAGAGAAAAAAGAAGAAACTAGGCAGGTGCTGTTTCTCTTGCTTTAGCAAGATTCTTTCACAACCACACAAATCACATCAGTAACTAACCATCCACAACCTGTCTCTGTCCTGGGTTCTATTCAAACACCTGTCTTCAAGCCTTCCATAGGCTTCTGGGGTTTGAGTTGAAGGGGCTTTTGCTATTGTCTTAATCTAGAAATTTAGGAAACTGAAGCCTTCCATGGTTTTTCAGAATATCAGCCAGGACGCAGAGAAGAGGAAAAACAAAAACAAAACAGGCAGTGACCAAACTGAGTAATTATAAAAGTCTTACTATTAATTAAATCTAAAGGCCTCAGTTCTTCCCTTCTTGCCTTGTCTGGAAAATAGGGTTGATTGTGTTTCAGAAATTACATACTAACCTCATAATGGAAATCTGTATTCATGAGATACAGATAAAATCTAACCCTCATTAATCATACTTTCCCTCTGTCTATGTATCCCTTGAAACCTTGTTTCCTCTTCTCTCTATTGTACCATGCCATTCAAGTACATTTGTCCTTTTATTAAATCCTTTATGTCCTTCCCAGTACCTCCAAGAAGGGAAATCCACACGTTGGAATTTTGCATGTGTCCCTAACAATAAAAGAGGTCCAAGGCTGATTAGCAGCACTATTCCAAGAATCTATTTTCAACTTTCAACAAGAAACAATTTCTTTAAGAAAAAAAGGATTTTCCATGAGAAAATTGCAGGTTGTAGTATGTCCAGGAGCTTATAGTAGGTTAAGTTATTTGTTAGTTTCAGGGCATATGTCCAGAAGCTACTCTAACAGTTATGAAAAGTATAAATTTTCAAGAACATTTTTGGAAACCAATTTTTATTATTGTAAGGCAAATAATTACAGGTAATTACCACTTATTACTGTTTTCCTAATATATTTAACCATTCATTCTAACATCAAATAGGCTTTTTGATGCTGGATGCTTAGTTAAATTCTAATGGTCTTCTAACTTACACACTATTACATCAATTTAATAGAATTTGTCAACTGAAAATTTTCTTTCCATGAACTTCAACAAATTAGAGATAAATTTCTGAAACGGAAACATTTTTCACTTCTAAATCAAATCATACCACATGCTTCATATGGAGAACACATGTCTAGAAAAGCAGCCATATTGAACTAAAACACTTGTTTGGAAATGGCAGTTGACTGATTTTGCAGCATTGTTATGCATGCCGAAAAATACTGTAGCACCAACAAAGTTATCATGTTGTGTGATGAACTGTATAAATTTGCTTTTAAAAAAACTTTGTATACATAATTAGAATTTATGGAATTTTTACTACAGAATTATCAAATGTTTAGAAGTCTACCTACTAAAACACACACAGAAAAACTATATGAAAACTACATGAATATAACTACAAAACACTCTGCAGAAATAAAGATGGACCTAAATAAGTGGAAAGATATTCATTGCTTACAGTTGTGATAAACCAATATAATAAAAATTGCAATACTAGCTAAATTAATTTACTTATTCAGTGCCACACTAATCAAACTATTTTACTTTCAGTTCAGTCATGTCCAACTTTTGGTGACCCAAGAGTTTCTTTCTTGGCAGAGATACTGGAGTGGTGTGCCATTTCCTTCTCTAGCTCATTTTACAGATGAGGAACTGAGGCAAACAGGGTTAAGTGACTTGCCCAAGGTCACAAAGCTAGTAAGTGTCTGAGGCCAGATTTGAATTTAGGAAGATGAGTCTTCCTGATTCCAAGCCTAGTGCCCCATACACTGGGCCACCTAGTTGCCCTGCTACTTTAGAGAACAAAAACAATAATAAAATACAATCAGGAGGAATGAATGAAAGGTCAGGGTCTCAAGGAAAATAACAGAAAAAAGCAGGAAGAGAGCCCACCAATAGTAGATCCCAAATTATACTTATTCTACAAAGCAGCTGAATCATCAAAACTATTGATGCTTGATAAAAAAAGTAGAAATGTTTAAAAATGTACTGTGTCAGGTACATATCATACAGAAGGACATGAATGTAATACCAGAGTATTGGATTAACCCAAAGACAACCCATCTACAGGGAAAAGGACTTACTATCTGACCCAAAATTAAAAAAATTGAGAAACTACAAAACAGTCTAATAGAAATTTGGTTTAGACCAAGATTTCACACCATATATGACAATAAGGTCCAAATTGATACATGATCATGAACAAATTCGAGGCTTAAAGAAGAAAATACCTTTGATAACTATGGGTAGGAGAAGAATCAGTGACCAGACAAAGAACAACAAGGCCCGTAGAAGGGAAAATGGACAATTTTGCTTTTATAAATTGAAAAGGTTTGTAAAAACAGAATCAATATAGTTAAAATTAAGGGAAAACAGTTCATTGTGAGGGAATTATCTTTACCAGATTTCTCTGACAAAAATCTGATAGCCAAGATAGATAAGGGATTGATTCAAATGTATAAAAACAACAGCCATTCACCCAATACATAAATGGTTAAAGGTTATGAATAAGTAGTTCTTAAAGGAAGAGACTCAAGCTTTCAGCATACGTGAAAAAAATTACTATTAATTCAAGAAATGTACATTAAAACAACTTTGAGTTTCAACTTCATATCTATCAGATTGGCCAAACCAAAAGAAAGAAGGAAAAAAGAAAGAAAGAAAGAAAGAAAGAAAGAAAGAAAGAAAGAAAGAAAGAAAGAAAGAAAGAAAGGAAGGAAGGAAGGAAGGAAGGAAGGAAGGAAGGAAGGAAGGAAGGAAGGAAGGAAGGAAGGAAGGAAGGAAGGAAGGAAGGAAGGAAGGAAGGAAGGAAGGAAGGAAGGAAAAGAGAAAAGAAATGAAAAGAAAAGAAAAGAATAATTGTGAGAAAAGCTCCAGGAAAGATAGTACATTGATCTGAATTGGCTCTACCTTTCTGGAAAGCAAATAGAAACTATGCTTTAAAAGTCACTAAACTGTGTATACCCTTTGACCTTGAAATGCCACTATTAAGCTAATACCACTACTATACTAAGCCAAGACATCAAAGAAAAAGAAAAAAATGGTTATATGTAGTCATCTGCTTATTTTATATTTATATTACATATTTATGTAACTACAAACATATTTATAAATAATAAAAATATTTATCTCAACCCTTTTTGTTGCATCAAAGAACTGGAAACAGAGGAGATGCCCATCAACTGGGGAATGTCTGAACAAATTATTGCATCTGAATGCCATGGAATGTTATTGAATCTTAAGAAACAATAGTTTCAGAGAAACCTGGAAGCTTGTACAAACTGATGTAGAATAAAGTGATCAAAGTTAGGAAAACAATTTATATAGTAACAATTGTATTTGGTATTGCAGAAGAAGAAGGTAAGAAATAAAAGTGGCTCATTGAAGCATTTTTTCAAAATGCACAAAAGAAAACAGAAGGAAATTCAGAGGAAAACAAGGACAAGCAGAACAACTTTGAAAGTAACATGTTGGATTTATTAATCATATAGATAGATTTGAATCAATCTCTACAAAATCAAGATTTGTAATTTACACATAATCCTTTTTTCCCTCTTCTACTTTGTGCATGGAAATGTTGTCTTTTTTGGTGGTCATTACATTCCAAATTTTAAAAAATTAATGAGTTTATAGAACTTTTTAAAATCTGGAATGAATCTCATAAATTATTTTGTCCAAACCCTGCCCCCTTTATTTACAGATAAGGGATTGAGGGAAGTCAAGTCAACAAGCCTTTATTAAGTAATTTATTAGATAAGTAATATGTGCTAGACACTGTGCTAAGTGCTAAAGATACAAAGAAAGGCCAAAAAAAGTACCTTTTCTTAAGGATCTTATAGTCTAATGGGGAAAAACATGAAAACAACTGTATGCAAGTAGATATACAGGATAAATTGGAGATAGTCTCAGAGGGAAGGCACTAAGATTAAGGAAGACTTGGAAAGACTAAGGTGGGATTTTAGCTGAGCCTTGAAGGAAGCCGAGAAGAAGAAATGAAGAGAGTGAGAGTTCTAGGAATGGAGAATAACCAGTGAAAATGCCCAAAGTGGAGAGATGGCAGATCATGTGCAAGGCATAGCAAGCAGGCCCAC